AAAAAGCATGTTAGTTGTACAATCAAATTATTTCACAAAATAAAGCATGTACACGGAAGTACTAAGTACTTCATTAGTGAAAGACTCAATTTCAGTCCTTTGGAGTGTACTCTAGGGGTGTAAATGAAGGAAAGCATATTTTGGCTTGAGCTAAGAATAAAAATACCTCACTCAAAAACTGTGTTCTGATTAAGCAAAATTCAAAACTGAGTGTTTTTCATTCCACTAGTACAAGGTGAAAGATTCAGAATGTTCTGGCCATTAGAAACAATGGGAATTAGATACCAACTGATATTTCCTTATTATAGGTGGGGTAGTAGTCCACCCTGAATGCTACTTTCAACCAAGTTGCAAAAATGTTATTGAGGAATTGAGCAGCATACCTCTGCTCCCACCTACTGCAAAATCTCTTTAGATTGGAATCGGTCATTAAAAAAGAACCTGCCCACAAACACACCAGAGGTCTTTTCAATAATTTCATGAAGACAGAGCACAAGTAACACTGTCTCAGCACATTTCCCCTATAAAGTTTTCTTAACGTTTTGATTTTTTAAAAATCTGCTTGTTCAATTTTTTCTGTAGGCACTGACAGCCTGCTTCCTTAGCAAGATCAAGCATCAGATGGGATATGCTTTTGTTCAAGTCTACCTGCCAGGACCCAAGCCCAGGAAAAGCAACTGTATTGTTCTTTGATGTTTTTAATTTGCACATAGGGGAAACTGCAAGAAAAGGCCTGCTGGTGCTTCTTAACTACATAAAGAATATTGAAAATATGACAAAAGAGCATGCATATGTATGTATGTTTACACACACACCAAAGTAGACCAAACCAACATAGAACCTTTGTGTTTTAAGTGCCAGCCTGAAACTCATAAACAAAAGCCTACACAGAGTACATATACATCAAAGCTTAATGAACAAGTCAACATTGTACTAGCAGCCTTTATAGTTATATAACCTCAGCAGAATTAGCTTGGCTTGTATCCGAAGCCTACAGTAGAAGTGAGTGCACACACAAACTTTGCATTAGCTACCTGCACTATAAAGCACATGTGCTATAAAGTCACATGCCCATCTAATAGTGCCTGGTATTGCCTCATTTATAAGAACTGAATTTCCCAAAATATTGTCTTCTGCTCATGACAGTAGACAACTACCAAAAATATGCTTTGAGTATTTTGTGAGTTTTGTTATTCTAAATCAATAGTAGCTGCATCATACAATATCTCTTCTACAGATTGAAAAATTGGGAGTGCTAACTGAAACAAACACATCAATTCATTTAAAAATTAAGCCAAAAACAGAATCTGAATTCTGGATGAATCTAACTCAATCACCTCCCAGTGGATTCAAAGTAGAATATAAGCCTCCTAATTCAGATTCCACTGTGGAATATGGCACAAAGCCATGGATCACCAGAAATTTAAAATAGCTTATGAGTTTTTTGCAATTGTGCAAGATTTCAGGTTTACTGATTAAGGTTGAGTTTCTGCAGACCCCACCTGAAACTGTGGGGGATCCTGTGGCATCACTTGTCAAGCCCTAACTCAATTGATTCAAATTGGTCAACTGTTCAGGGAATGACAACCCAAGAAGTTACTAACTGCAACATACAGGAGACCTGTGAAAATATTATCCTTGACAGGAGGGACATTGTTATTGATCACTGCTTGAAAGTGAATAGCTATAGAAAAGAAATATGCTACAATACTAAAGAATTACTAAAACAAGTAGACATTTTAGAAGAAGAGGTGTATTAGTCTATGGCAGCCAGTCTATGGTAGCCAAAAATCAGAAGTGGCCTTTTTCAACTAATAAATTGTATTAAAAGGCATGTGAACTACAGCTCATTTAATTATATGCAATGGAGTGGCTAGATTTGCAGAGTCTATGAACCCTGGTATTCCAGCTAAGGTGGTGCCAATGCTTGGAATGGTAAAGCAGCTGAAGTTGCCTGGTTTCTATGTTTTGGGAACCTAACCACTCTGTAGCATCTAACGAAGGACACTGAAGTTAATAAAAGCATATTCCTTTTAATAATATGTCTTGGTCAGAATAGGTGCTACCAGACTCCTAATTTAAAACAAGTAGAATTGCTAAAAAAATGCATACAATTAATATGGATGCCAGTGGCAATTCAGCAATGTACAAAATGCCAACAGTATTAAAATCAACAAGCAAAGTTAGCTGTCTCATTACTGAAAAACAAAAGTAGAGTAAGCTTTGCAAACTTTACAAAGAATTGAATGGTAAAATTATACATTGCATTTCAGTTACATTGCCACCGGAATGATGAGTTTTGAATTTACCTTAGATTAAGATGCAATGTGTATATTGTTGGATATGGTTTATCTATTCCAATAATACCAAGACCTTTAAAAGAACCAGTTAAGATTTGAAACCTCTTTTTCATGTGGAGAAGCAATTACTTAAGGAACAAGTTTTCTAACAAAGCAACAGTACAGGCCCTATTAATATGTTATATATAGAATTTTTAAGATAGGGATGAAGTTGATTAGCCTGATGAAGGTTGTTAAAACTAAAATTTTAAGAGGAATGGATAAACATTTATGCACAGAACAGCAGAAAGTAGGTCTCACTCTGTAAATCTCACTAAACATTTAAAAGAAAACTAGGAAAAAAAGCTTTCAACAGTGTTATAAAAGTAGAGATTTTCACTGTAGTTTCCATAGTGAACAAAGCAAGCTGTGCTTATGCAGCAAACCTTTCCAGAAAACTGCTATTTATGATGTCACTGGTCTCAATAAGTATGTATTCCAGGAATCTGAAATATAGGGCAGTAGTCCCCCTTAGCATCTAGGTGTGATTGACAAGTACAAAATCCCCTTCCTAGACTTCAACAACCAGTTATCTCCATGCTTTCTCTTGCACTGGGGAAGTAAGAAAAAAATAAGGAACTTGTCATGCCAAATCCGGTTTTTTTCCCCTGACTTAAAAGTATACTACTACAAATTACTAGCATCTACTAATGAACATTTACATTCCAATTCTGCAAATATGCTGCAACTTATGGACTAGAGAACACGGTAAGAGGTACAAGTCCACACTGATAATGTCAATGCAATTCTACTACTTGTTGTGCGGGAAGATTTGATAAGCATGCACAGCCACTTGTCCCAGGATCAAAAACTATTTCTCTACAATTAGGGTGGCCATTATATATTTTCAATTCTTACTCATGAACACCCAATGGGTAGCAACTATTAAAACAGCTTACACCCATTGATATCAATAGCCCCTTCCAACCTCTATTTATAGTTTCATCCAATGTCTCCACATTTGAAAACTAAGACTTTCAACATAAAATTGTGTTCCAGGATGTAATGGTACAGCTCTTAGCCAACTGGTCATTTTGCTATCATGTTTTCTTCAAGGACCAATCTACACTGACTCACAATTTAACTCCTTTGTATCTTCACTTGTTTGTAATGTTAGTGGCAGTGTCAAGAAAATAATCTTTCACCAAGGGGCTACACTTATTTTACTCTGTATGGAACATAAGCCTCCACACACTGTTCTACTCTCAATGAGGGCAGGTCAATATATGGAAACCAATCTCAAATGTTCAGTATTTTTTTCTAAAGAGCCACACCTTACACACTTTGCAAATTAGCAGCAGGTATTCATCTCTCTTAAGCAAAGCCAGAAACTGCCAGAGTTGAGAAGGAATTGCCATTTATAATGCAGATAGAAAGATTTTTAGTTTGTAGTGAGAAAAACATGGATTCAGTTTCCATGTCTGAGGGCAAAGATTGAACCTAACCTTCCTATTAAATTCTTTGATTATATTAACACTTCCTTGGAAATATTTTTTTGCAATTTGTAATCGATAAAAAAAAACTCCAATGTTTCATTCTTACCATCGTATATTTTTCAAATACACTGGTATAGACATTTTAATAAAATGAGCATTAAAAAATTAATTTTTGTAATTTAAGATGTTGTCCCAGCAGAAGAGATCATTAAAAGGTAAAGTCTCTTGGTGACTTTATAGATATGTCCATGCAATTTTCTTGGCAAGAATACTGAAGCAGTTACTGTTTCTTTAGCCCATCCCCAAGTGAATTGCTTTTGTTTACCTCAAAGCAAACTTCTACTGAAGAAACACCATCACTTATTAATAACTATGTACCTAGTTCATCTACATAAGCCAGCAATTCCTTTATATCTCAAAGTTTTTCCATAGGGCATACTGAAGCAGTTACTGTTTCTTTAGCCCATCCCCAAGTGAATTGCTTTTGTTTACCTCAAAGCAAACTTCTACTGAAGAAACACCATCACTTATTAATAACTATGTACCTAGTTCATCTACATAAGCCAGCAATTCCTTTATATCTCAAAGTTTTTCCATAGGGCAATACATGTTAGTGTTTAACATTCATTCCCTTATCTATTAGTAAACATTAAATACTATCAGTGCCACCAACAAAACCAGGATAGATGCAGTGTATACATATGCAATATATCTATCGGCTCAATTTTTGTTCTGAGTTATGAAAAAATCTTAAATTCTATCACGTTTAAAACTTGAAAGCTGCACAAGAAACTACTTCATTTACCATTAAGTGACAACAAAAACATTTTACTTATCAAAACATTTATATAACAGAACCCAGTGGTACATTTCTGATCCATATTTCTAGTTACAAGTTACAAAAAAACCCAACAATCCAAATTCAGGTTTTTAGTTTACAACATGGAAAATAATTACTCTGCTTTAAAATTCAAGAGAAGCTATCAACTCACAATAGTAAAAATATCCAACATGTTTTTCCAGAAAGTCTTATACTTCATTGGTTCTAATATTGCAAGACTTAGGTCACACAGCAGAAGTAAATGCAGAGGAACAACTTTTTTCTCTCCCCATTCAAATGCATACCTGGCTTGCAGAGTGCTTTGTCACAGTAACTCCAGGACTAAATAGTACACAAGCACAGTCTTCTTAAGAATTTTCTTTTTAAAATATAATAAAAGGATACAGCCTTAAAGCGCCAGTTTGAGTCCCAATGGCAAGTATCTTCTGAACAGGATCAAAAGCCAAGGCTGAAGGTTGATAGGGGAAACCATGGCGTACAGTCTGTCAAGTCAGAGCAGTGAAGCAATGGTGATTCAGGCAACCAAGGAAAAATAAAAAGCCAATATTTTAGGAAGAAATGACTTCATTTAGTCTATAGAACAGAATGAACAATTTTTTTTCATTTGGGGGGGAAGTTAGAATTTATTTGAATCTCACTGAACAAAATGAACCAAAATGAAATCTTTGCTTAAATACTCAGAGATACGGATCAAATTTATCATTCACTTCTCACTTTATTACATATCTAGAAATTCTTGCAAAAATTACACAAATGTATTACAAACTTACACAGATTGAGAAATTTGATGATGCAGCCAATACTGTAAATTAAGTGTTCACTAATTATTAAAATGGCTCTTTAGAGAGCTAGCTCTATTTCTATGAAGAAGGCCTTAAATGACATGAAAGTTTTAAAAAATACATAGGCACTTTTGCATTTAATGCATTACAATGGCCACCAATACTCCTACTTTTTTTTTTTTTTTTTTTTTACAATTAGAGATGTACCTAAGCTCATCCTGTGTGGGGTAATGAGGGAAAGAGGGAACAGCACAGGCAATGCCAGTCAAACAAGAATGCTTTTTTATCTTAAGGATCAATCCTAACCCATTATTTAGATAAAGTATTCAATCCACAAGCCAAACTACAGCAGTTTAGGCCACAGGTGTTGTAAAGGTGGAGATGAATGTTAACATCCACTTTGTTTTGTATTTCAATTTGGCACAGCTGGTGAATTAATCTGCTGCATCACCCTTTTGGAATTTAGACTCCAACTGCATTTACTGCATCCCATCTGAGAAGAAATACCCCTTCCTATTAGCATTACTTCTTCCCCTATTCCAAAAAGGAATTAAAGAATTATTCTCACTATATTTAGAGAACTAAATTTACTGAAGCCTGTTAAAATCCCTGTGTTGCTGGTAATGCAGAGCATTTAGTACTGTCCCCTGATTGCATCCAAGTGGCATTTTAACTGTGTTCAACAGTGAGGCACTCATGAGAGGCTCCTCTCCAAACATCTTAGATATACATGTGCATATTTGTAGCTTAAAATGCAAGTGATAAATAGCCATCAGAGAAAGATGCTTGTAAATAAAAGCTTAGGGTCCCTCATAACGTCATCCTCGCGGTTGCTATTCTTCCCCCACCCACCTCTCCCGCAAATTAAAAAAAAAAAAAATTAAATTGACAGCTTTAAAAGCATCGGAGTCCAGAGTCTGCAGAACCCATCATGGCTACATCATCCTCCGCTCCCCCCCTCCCCATTTCTTCCCAACCGGCTGCAGCATTCACCTTGCAGAGCTGGAAGTGCTCAGACTGGAGGGTCTCCTGGATGTCGTTCTCCCGGGTTGCAGACAGCTGCTGCTGCGAGGAGGAGGAAGCCGAAGAGGAGGACGACGAGCCCGCCAGGCCGTCCAACACCTTTCTGATGTTAAATTTCCTCATGGTCTCTCCGGCGGCGCACCCTTTTCTTCTTCCTCCCCCTCCTCCTCCTCCTCCTCCTCCCCCTCTCCACCCCCCTCTTGCCGTGGCTCCTACTCCCGCCCGACCACACACCTCATCCAGACGAGCGGAGAAAGGGAAGAAGCAGGCGGGCAGAGCGAGGGGTCCCGCTGCAAAGGGAGGGGGAAACAAGGGAAGGGCGCCTCGAAGTATCTGCTTTCCCCCTCTGCTTTGCCTTCATCCAACCATTATCCTCCTCGGTCTGGGCACAGGTTGGGAAGGCAGCCGCGAGGGGAAAGGGGTTGCTCAAGCCAGACGCGGACGAAAGAGGCAGAGCAGTCACCCTTATCCGCTGAGGGAGGGAGTGGACCTGACCAAGGAAGAGGAAAGCGCCGAACAGGAAGAGAAAGGAAGGAGGGAGCGCACGAAGTAAATAAATCTAGCGGCGAGATTAACGTAGCGCGGCGGCTTCTTTCTGCCGCTCGCCACGCCAGCGCGCTCACACGCACACTCAGGCGAGCAGCTCGCTTCTGGCAGGCGGCTCTGCCAAGACCC